ACCGTTGTGTTCCCCCGCTTTAGGCACTTCGACAGTCCTTTGCCTTCCTGCTGTAGCCTGTACGTCTCCTACTGCTTCTTGCACAATCAGTTTCAAATTTCTGGGTGTGCAGCTAATGAGTGGGCTGACTTGGTCGCTCAATAGTGAGAAACTGGTGAAGTGGGCTCAGCAGCATCTGCATTTTCTATGTCGCATGAGAAAAGCACATCTTCCTTCCCCTGTCCTGACCACTTTCTACAGGGGGACGATCGAGAGCATCCTGTCATACAGCATCACAGTCTGGCTTGGAAGCATCACTGCTTCAGACAGGAAGGTGGTGCAGAGAGTGGTGAAAATGGCTGAAAAGATCCTTGGCAGTTCCCTCCCTCCCATCCTAGACATAGCACAGAAGTGTTACTTGAGCAGTGTCTGTAAGATTGTCTGGGACACTACGCATCCTCTTCATGACCTGTTTTCCTTGTTACCTTCTGGGAGGAGGCTTCGTGGTGTCCATAGCAGAACATCCAGATTCAGCCATAGTTTCAATCCATACAGCATTAACCTTGTGAACCCTCAAGCTTCTTCCTTCCGTTATATATTCAAGATGGACAGTATTTAATATTTATTTGCTACATATATGTAGAGATGTGGGTCTATACATGTTGTTTATAGTATGTTTAGATGTGCATCATGTATGTGTTATACTTTGTGAGCAGGCAACTAAATTCCATTTTTGATGTGTGCCGTTGTGCCCACAGTAAAAAAATGACAATAAAGGTTATCTTATCTATCTTATGTTATCTTATTTCACTTGGCTGGGTCCTACCATAACTGATACTTCTAAATCCTTTATGTTTTATTGTCTCCCATGTATATATATATATATATGTAGGTCTTTGGTTATTTGGGTTTTCTCCCACGTAAAATTGGAAGTATCTTGGTGACGTTTCAACGAAGTCCCATTCGTCATCTTCAGGCTGGTGTTTTCAGCTTCGTGCTTGTATGTATGTATGTATGTATGTATGTATGTATGTATTACATTTGGTACCTTCAGGTCAGCCTGCGCTCCTGGCAATCACCTGGACTAGTCCCTGCATTTTTTAAATAAGATTTTGGACACGGTTTGTCATTTGTAAACTGTTTTCTCACCCAAATTCAGGGAACAGGTCTTCAGTTCCGCACCCACTGGGGGTGCTTGATTTTTGAGGCAGCAGCCCCACGTAGTAGTCTGAACAGGAAATGACCAGGGCATAAATGACCTTGAGCTGAGAGCAAGGGGCGTAATTGATGCAGAACACAAAGTTGGATTGTATGACCTTTGAGGTTCTCTCCAGCCCTGGGATTCTCTGTGACTGTTCCCAAAAAACTGGGAGGACCTCTTGGTCTCCCCCCCACCCCCATGAGGCGGTAAAACTAAACTCCCCACCCTGCTCTCTAATCTCTCTCCCTTTGTAAATCCCATTTACCTGCCTGCCTTCCTGGAAAGAGGGAGACAAACACTTTAAGTCACCTGCCTTGACTCCAGACTGAAGAAGAAAGGAAGGGAAGCAGAGGACATCTCTCTGCATCATTCAGGGCCCAAAGCAGCAAAGGCACAAAGGTGCAGCAACCGACCAAGGCAGAAGAAAAGTTTGTGAGGCAGCCAAAGATCTTCCCAAAGAGCTTCCCAAAGATCTCCCAAAATTAGCCAAGTAGAATAGGAGCAGATATCCCATTGAGTACAAGCCTTGAAAAGGCTCCCTTCTACTCCCAGACCCCCAGGCTGAATGACACAGCCGTGATCCAGGCCCTTCCTGAAGACCAGAAGCCTGGGACTGGATGGGCAGGATGAGGGCAGCGACCGGATGTCCAGGAAATGGGTCCTTTTGGATTCTGACACAATCAGCACATCAGCAAATTAAGAGCCCTTAAGCTTTAGTATTCCTTTAAGTAAATTAAAGAAAAGCACAGCCTAAAAAGCATACATCTCAAGCAAGAGGATACCAAATCTCCCCTAAACTGCCATGAGCTCCTTAATAACGCAAACAAGAAGACCTGAAGGGCGACCAATGTTATTTTAAATTGCCCTGGCTGTGCAACAATTGAAGTAAGGATCTTTCAGATTAGAGGAACTGGAAGGCAAATACATTTAGAGTATTATTTGGTGTTCTGGTCATTGTATCTCAAAACATACATTCTAATTTTCAAAACAAAATGTAAATGAAACTTTACATGTAAACGAAACTTTTACACAGACAAAAATACCGGATTCATGGACTGAAGCTAATATTACTTTGATACCTAAAGAAGACACTGAATCTACACAAGTAAAAAATTATAGACCAATATTGCTACTAAATGTGGATTATAAAATCTTTGCTGCAATAATGGCAGAAAGAATGAAAAACTTTTTGACTGAATTTATCCATTCAGACTAAAATGGTTTGCTTCCTAAAAGGCAAATAAAAACAATTTGAGGATTATTTTAAACATTTTGGAATACTACGAGAATCATCCAGGGAGCCAGATGGTACTTATATTTCTCGATGTACAAAAAGCTTTTGACAGTCTAAATTGGCAATCTAAATTGGCAATTCAACAGCTTCAAGAAATGGATTTTGGTGAGAACTTTATTAAAGCAATTCAAGCAATTTATAAGAAACGAACTTTAAATGGATATTATACAGACGGTTTTGATATTAAAAAAAGGTACTAGACAGGGATGTCCACTGTCCCCTTTGTTATTTATTCTCACATTAGAGGTATTGGCTAGAAACATCAGATAAGACACGGAAATTAAGGGATTGGAGATCAAAGACCAGAAATATAAATTACAGGCTTTTGCGGATGATTTGGTTTTCATTCTAGAGGAGCCATTGGAAACAGCTCTTAAACTTTTACAGAAAATTGAGAAATTTGGAGAGGTGGCTGGATTGAAAATAAATAGGGAAAAGACTAAAGTATTAACAAAAAATCTAACAAACAGAAAACTCAACTTGCTAAAATGACAAATCCTTGAATAGTTAAAAAAGTGAAATATCTGGCATTTATCTAACTGCAAAATATACAACATTAAAAGAAGATAAGAGATTAATGAAAAGAAATTAATTAAAAGAAGATGAGAGATTAATGAAACAAATAAAAATAGACTTGGAAAAGTGGGAAAATCTTCAACTATCACTGTTAGGAAGAATAGCGACTGTTCAGATGAACATTTTACCCAAACTAATCTTTTTATTTCAAACAGTTCCTGCTAAACTGAGTAAGAAGTTTTTTGATGACTTAAATGCAACAATATTAACATTTATATGGCAAAGAAAGAAAGCAAGAAATAAATGTAAACTTTTACAAGAATCTAAAGATAGAGGGAGCTTTGGACTCCCGGATTGGAGATTTTATTATCAAGTAGCCATTTTGCTTTGGATTAAAGAGTGGATTTTATTGAGAAATAAAAGATTGCTTTACTTAGAAGGATACGACCTTCAATTAGGTTGGCATGCTTTCTTATGGTATGAGAAATCTAAAGCACATAAATACTTTCAAAACCATGCCATAAGGAATGTGCTATTTTCAGAATGGGAGAAAATCAGACATAAAATGTATATGAAAATACCTGAGTGGCTTTCAACAATGGAAGCATTCGCCTATCCAAACTTGATTAATTATGACAAACTGGTTAGTTATAAAGATATTTTGGATAAAGATGGGAAACTTAAAGACAGGCAAGGTAACAACAAGGTATAGATTTAACATGGTGGTCCTATTTGCAAATCCAAACAAGATATGAAAGAGATACAAAATCAATGAGGTTTTATAAAGAACAGACTCCACTGGATAAAATTCTGTTAAAAACAGATGAGAATTTGATTAAGAAACTTTATAAATTTCTGCTAAATTGGAAGATGGAAGAAGAACAAGTTAAAGAAACAATGATAGTATGGGCAAAGAACTGTGGATACTCAATTGAATTGGAAGACTGGCAAAAACTCTGGGACAAAAATATTAGGCTTACTAAGGCAGCAACATACAAAGAAAATTTATATAAGATGTTTTATAGATGGCATATGACACCAATTCGATTAGCGAAAATGTTTAAAAATGTATCGAATACTTGTTGGAAATGTAAACAACAGCCAGGTACTTACTATCATGTCTGGTGGACATGCCCTAATGCAAAGAAATATTGGCTTAAGATTCATAGATGGCTAGAAAAGATGATGAAAATACAGATAGAATTTAAACTGGAATTATTTTTGTTAGGAATATTAAAACCTAATTATGGTAAAGAGAATGATTATTTAATATTACATGTTTTAACAGCTGCTAGAATTGTTTTTGCCCAATTTTGGAACAATGAAAACCTACCATCTAATCAGACTATAATTACTAAAATCCTAGATTGTGCAGAAATGGATAGATTAACATTGGAGATCAAAGTGAAAGATGATTCAATTTACTGTATTTTAAAACTTGGGAAAAATTGTATCAATGGCTAGAGACACGTTAAAATCTAAAAAGACCTTAAACTATAGAATAAATGATAGGATTTCTATTAAGCTTTAGTGGTTTAGGGCTAACAACATTTTGATTTTTAGTGTTTAGTGTTTTGTTTTTTTAAATACGAAGGTGACGAATATGATTAGTGGAGATTTTATTAACGGTGATAATTATGGCTACTTGAGATTTTAACTATGTTTATCTACTTAGAGAAATTTGGTTTATCTATTAACTTTTAGTAATATGGTTATAGTTAATCTTATTTTATAATTATTTTTATAATTGTTGACTATGATATCAACTATGTTTATTCAACACTTAGACCCGGACGGTCGCTTATTTGTTAAAGCACAAACTTATTGTTGGAGGTTGTCCCCACTATGGTACTTATCTTTATCCTATTCCAAATCCCCTATCTCCTTCCCTCCCCTTCCTTATTGACCCCATTCCTTTCCTACCTATATAAAATCCAATAAAATGTTAAAAAAAAGAAAATGTAAAAACTATTACGCACTGTAACGTTAATCTTTATCTTTATTTTCTAGTTAACAACTTTTGACAATGGAATGCAGGAGAAGGTAGGTAGGAGAAAACACTTGAGTCCTATAGAAAGTTTAAATAGATACAGAGATGGATGATTAGGTGGATGGATGGATGGTGGTTTATATTTGTCCTCAGTTGCCATTATAGCTTTTTCTTCTGTGGTGTATTTTTGTAATACATTTTTAACTTACGTTATCTACCCAAGAAAGCCAGTTTGGTATCGTGGTTAGTGTATGAGGTTAGAAACCAGGTGTTCTCATCCCACTTCAGGTACAAGCCAGCTAGATGACCTTGGGCCAGTCACATTCAATCCTAGAAAGTTAGCAATGCCAAAGCACTGCTGAAAAACCCTGCCAAGAAAACTGCAGGGATTTGTCCAGCCAGGCCCTAAGAATTAAACACAGACAAATGGAAGGAAAGCAAAGAGAGACACCTGGAGTTTCTATTGCATGTAGGGCAGCCATGTAAGTTGGTTGAATCTGCAGATCTAGCTTAAGTCATTGTGAATATTGGTTTAATAGACCAAGTTACTAATCTCCAACTTGGATAAAGTTGTTTTTAGAAAAAAAAAAGATACTATCAGTTTTTTTTGTCTTTTTAAAAATAGAATATTTTGTCAATGTTTCAGGAAGAAAAAGTGAAATTTCCAAGACTGGAAAACAAATTTGAAGAGCTGAGGCGTCTGGAAGTATGTAATGTATAATTGTAGCCAGTATACTACATTAACAACGAAAATATAGTGCACCCAGAACTAGTTACAAATATTGCAGAACCACAGCAGTAGTTCACCCTTACAAGTAACCGCAGTGGCTTTGCAATATTCACCCTGGTTATTCCCTCCTTCCCTACCCCAGTCCGAGTCTCCCTAGGCACCAGCCCTTCAATACTCATCCTGCGAAGATCGAGATCCTTCACTTTCTTGGCTGCTCCAGGCCTTTGTTGCATTTGCAGAGAATGGAGGCCTAAGGTAACGCAATATCACACGAGTTCAGTGGGGCGAGATCTCACACTACTGATGTCTTGTGATCTCGTGGTACTTTAGGCCTATGTTCTCTGCAACAGAACAGAACTGAAGCCGGGAAACACTTCTGTGTGTCTCCAGAGGCTGGATTGGGGCTCCGGAGGCCTTTTCCAGGCCACTGGGGCCCAGATCTAAGGTTGTGGGAGGCTTTTATGCCCTCTCCCACTGCCTGATCTGGACTCCAAAAAGCTTTTGCAGGGCTCCGTGGCCCGGATCTAAGGCCAGGGGAAGCTTTTGCGCCTTTTCAATGGAAGTTTTAGGACAATGTAACTAAATATTATTAGCTAAATGTTACATGTAACACTCTTCAGTTATTGATCAAGTTTTCAAAGTAATATCCCCCTCCCACACCAACACTAAAAGATTGAAAATTTATGAATTATGGCTCATTATACATTTAATCCTACATAAACAAATCTAAAAGTAAGTCTTATGGAAGTGAGTGGGATTTTTCAAAAGGTATGTATAGGAAAGGACCTTTAACATCTCTCCCCCCACCACCCAAAAATATTGATATACGTTTGGAATAAGAGTTTCCTGACATCGAAGCAGTTCCCATTACTGATAACTAAGACTATTCATATGTAACGTTTTGATTTTTCTAGAGAGAAACCACCGAGGAACAACAGCTTGCCACTGATACACAGGAACCAGGTGGGGTCATCAAGCAGTAGAGATTTCAACAGAGGCTTCATGAGTCTCTGGCAAAGAACTGTGGATAGTACAATAGTAGAAAACACGCAAGAACCTCTTGAAAAGATGAAACGTCATCGGGACAGACATGAACTCAATAAACAATGGCTTAAAGCCTGTCTGCAGAACCTAAAAACTAAAACGACAAAAGAATCCAGGCGAAATGTATTGCAGTGGCTGCAAAAATGTTGTAAAAGCCTTAATGAAAAGTCGTACCAACCAGGACCTAGTGTCTCCCTGAGAACATGGCTTGTAAATTCCTGGATCAAGTTTGAGAAAGAACATCCTGAAGCATTCCTCGGGGATGTGGCTAATTGGCTGGAGATATCCCTAAAACACATGGAAGTAAGCAGGCCAAAAACATGTGCTTTGACACAAGAGGAATGCCTTGAAGCATCTGTTAAAGCCATTCAAAATCTATTGAATTCTGAAGCAAATCTCAAAGTAGCCTAAGAAGGCTTGAAAAATCATTAAACAAATCAACATTCTGAAGGATGCGTGGAGAGTATAATGGATTCCAGGATCTTTAGTAAGCCTCTCACTTCAGCAATCCTTCAAAAACCTGCAAGGGGTTCAGCAATCCTGCAGCATCTAAAGTATGTGGAAAAAGTAGCTTCAAATAGCCATAAATCACCTCCATGAAGAAGAGCCAGAAACATCCCATCTAAATTTGGAGGAGGGATTGGAAGCATCTAGACACAGCCTGCAGGAGGAAATACTTCAAAAGATGATAGGAAACAAAGATCCTGAAATATCCAGGAAAAAAATACATGTTTTCAAATGAATCCTTTCTCACAGAAAACAGGTATGTGAAGAGCCAATATAAATAATTATATTCAGGGTGGACTAAATATTCTGCTTTTTTCTCTTTCTATATCTTATACATTGAACCAAAAAGAAAATTGCTTTGCTTCTAGTACTGGGTAGCAGGTTTTCTTCAAGGGGGAACTGGAAAGGAAGAGGGCACAGCATACGTTTGCATGCAGTGAATTCCGTTTGCATGCAGTGAATTCCGGGGAAGGAAGGTGTCCCTGCAGGTTTTCCCCCACTAGTTGTGGCCGACTTTAAGTGACGTTGCTCATCTCCATTTGTTAAGGCAAAGAGCCGGTGTTTCCTGGAGGTGTTTCCGTGGTCATGTGTCCAGCTTGACAGCATGGTGCAACACAGAGGGTATGGTGATATACAGAACCAACCAGGACCTAGTATGTGCCTGACAACTTGGCTTGTAAATTCCTGGATCAAGTTTCAGAAGGAACATCCTGAAGCATTCCTGGGGGATGTGGATAATTGGCTGGAGATATCTGTAAATCATACGGAAGTTACAGTGCCAGAAACATATGATTTGACACCAGAGGAATGGTGAAAATACCTAGATTCCTGTGCAAAAAGTATCACTATGTACTTTAGGCTAGAGAAAATGAAAACATTTAGAAACAGGCTTCATTGTGAACCAGTACAAGAATCCATTGGAGTTGGATGGCTAAAAAATGTAACGAATTAACTAACAAGCTAATTGTTTCCAAGCCCCTTTCCTCTCTGGTGACTATTGAAAGCAGAATATTCAGGGCTCATCTGAAAGCTGAATTTGAGGGTACAGGGCTCAGATACAGTACAATCTTGTTGTAGTAACATGAAAAATCTCATACGTTCATATCAGTGCTCTGAAGTTCCACACTAATCTTTCCAAGATGCTAGACCCTTTCGCCCACTTTACAAAAGAAAAGAAGTTCATTCTGTTTTTTGGCATCATTTTTCCATAGCTGCCTGGATCATCCAGCATGGTGCTTTATGAAGGAGAGGTGTCACATTTTGCTGAAGACCTGAAGAAATGTAAAGAGAGATACACAGTAATTAAAAATAATTAAACCGTGGAAAGCTTTGAAAGCAAAGAGGTAAACTCTTCAGTTATTAAGTTCTGAGGCAAGTTAAGTTCTAAGCACTGCTTAGCACTGCTGATTTGTTGGGTTCTATTCTGAGATGCAAAACTAGTAAATGAGTATACTTTCTGAGCCACTGGGCACATTGTAACCCCTGGAGCATATTATAGGCAGATATGTAAAATAAAATACTAATTTACACATTGATAAAATGGGAATTGAGGTGTTTTGCTAACTCATTCCACCAATCTGGGACACCAATGACGTGACATGCTTAGCATGTTGAAGAATGGAGATTGGTTTGTGGGCTGGGGGGGGGATGTGGGGAGGGGAAAGAGAACAATAGAAATTTCATTTAGTGAGACTTGAAATATATAATCTAATAAATCACTTTTCCTAGAGAGGCTATGGAGAAAATCAGATTCATTTATTGATAGTGTCTTCTTACAGCTGATAATGTTAAACAAAAATACCTTTACTCAATGTCAGAATCCAATTATATTTCATCTTTAATTATCAAATATAGAAACTCCCAATTCTGCCTTCTCTGGATTCTGCCATAAGAGGGAGAGAAGGGGGAGAACAAAGGGGCTTTATGGCCCTCACTTCCTTCAGTACACTTCCAAGAGCTGAATGCTGAATGTGTGTTTATTGTAACATCAAAGCGTTAGCACTAGAGGACCTTATCATAACAAAGCAGGGTACTTGCCTTTCATGTAGTTACCTGAAGTCTCCATTCAGACGGAAGAAAGAAGAAAGGGGGTGGAATTGTGATATTTGAAACTATCACTGGAAGGGGGGTTGATTGGGTGGGACTACTGGGGAACCCCTTAAAACCTTGAATGGGAGAGCTTGAACCCCAAGTCCTGTCTAGCATGCCTGCAACCATTTTCTCTTAATAAAGGATTCCTGTTGGAAGAATTATTCCAAGAGTTCTGTCTTCTTAAGATGCAAAGTGGTGTGGGTCCTTACATTAGACAGGACTTGCAAAATTAATCCACCTGGAAGGAAGACCCTTGCCGGGGGATTTTGCAAAAATTTACCATGTCAGACAATGGAGCAAGAGAGGGGGAAAACTCCCTGGGAAGAGAGCCGCTGACCCAGTTGGAACCTTGCCAGATGTTGGGATCCGAGAGGCCAGATTCCTCAGGAGAAGAAGTGGTGGAGACACAGGACCACAAGCCTCGCTGGTCGATGGACATTGGAAAGAAAAGTGAGTGGAGAAAGGAATCAAGAAAGATGACCCTGAGATGGGGGACCAAGCAACCAGAATGGAAGCAGGAGATGGAGAAATCCCTGCACGCAAGTGAAGAGGGAGGAAGCTGGGCACCGTACTCAGACTGGATCCTAGAGAAAGCTATTGACCTGATGAAGAGAACTCTCAGCTCCCTAGGAGAGGAGAATACTGAGCCCTACGGCCGCCCCAGTTCCTGGAGCCACAAAGGGAGAGACACCGAGGGGGACGTGGAACCTGCAACCCCAGGGACATCTACTGATCCAGGAGCCCCACCCCCTACCGGACCACAGATGGCAATCTGGACGGAAGACACTACCACCCACAACAGAGGCACCGATCCATTCCAAGACGTCCACCGTTGGAGGTGAAATTCAAAGGGGAGCCAACACGCTTGGGGTTTTTCCTAACCCAAGTCCTCAGCTACATGGAGGAATATGGGCAGGACATTCCCAGCGACAAAGCCCGCATCCGGATCGTGCAATCTGCCCTGGATGGACCAGCTGCGGATTGGGTAGTGAACTTGCATGACTCCAATGCCCCAGAACTCAGTAACTTCAACCGTTTCATGTCCTCTTTGAGAAGACGATTTGAAGACCCCCTGGCTGATCGCAAAGTCCGTGAAAGAATAACAACGATGAGGCAAGGCAAACGCCCAGTGGCTGAGTATACACAAGAATTCCGGGCCATTGCCAGCAAACTGAATTGGCCAGAAGACATCCTCCTTGGCCATTTCAAAGATGGACTAAACTATGATCTATATGATGCTTGCCTGCCCCGAGGGGACCCACATCGACTTGAGGAATGGTACGTCTTGGCAGAGGAAGCAGAGATCGACATATTGAAGAGGCACCGCCGAGGAAAACAATGGAGCCGCCCCCCGCCTGAGCTGACACACCAACCGGTGAAATCATCGGATACAGCCAAGAAGCAAATGGGGTGTTTCAAGTGCGGAAGAGAAGGGCATCGAGCTGTAGAATGCCGCTCAAAGGCCCCCCAGCACAACCCAGACAGATCCCCAATCAACAAACCCGGAAAGTATTCAGCTAAGCCAAAAGAAACAGCCATGAGAATGATGGAAATTGCAGAAACCCCCACCTCTGCTCACCAAGGGGAAAGAACTCCAGCCTACACCACAGGGCCGGTGGATGCCTCAGATGACAGCTCGGAGGGCGAACCCCTGGTAAGTGGACGCATCACACCCATCTTCAAAACAGTGACTATATTAATCCCCCCCATGCCCGAAGCTGTGAAGGTGAAAGCCTTAATAGACTCTGGCTGCACCCGCTGCCTCATTAGCCCAACACTAGTGGGGAATCTGGGCATCCCATCCAGGAGACTGGAACAACCAATCTCATTTGGCCAGCTAGATGGATCCATAGCAGGGGGGGTGCCAGCTACCCTAGCCACTTTGCCAATACATCTCTCCCTGGGCAACCATGAAGAGGACTTAACGTTTGTGGTGACCCCAGGTATGGAATGCCCAATGATTCTAGGGATGGAATGGTTGAAAAAATGGAACCCCTGGGTAAATTGGAGGACGACAGAAATCAAATTCCCGAAGGGGGACCCTATGGACTTAAAACCCCAAGGGAGGCTACCAGAATCAAGAATAGAAAAAGCATCCATAGGAGAGGAAAAAAGATTAACAGAAATACCAGAGGAATATAGGGACCTTGCTGAAGTCTTCAGTGAGGAGAGGGCGAATGAGCTTCCCCCCCACCGACCCACAGACTGTACCATTGAATTCAAGCCTGGGGCAAAACTCCCGAAGCCCAGATTATACTCCATGAGCCCAAAGGAGAAGGAGGAAATGGAAAGATTTATAAAAAAAAACCTGGAGAGAGGTTTCATTGAGCCAGCCAAGCCTAAAGTGGCTGCCCCGGTCCTTTTTAGAGAGAAGAAGGATGGCTCTTTACGTTTATGCGTGGATTATAGGGCCCTGAATACAATCAGTGAAAGCAACCTATACCCGCTGCCCCTCATGAAAGACATGCTGTCACACCTATCGAAAGGGAAATTTTTTTCTAAACTAGACCTAAGGGAAGCTTACTATCGCGTGAGAATCAAGGAAGGGGACGAATGGAAGACTGCATTTAACTGCCCCATGGGGTGCTATCAATTCAAAGTCTTGCCATTTGGATTACAAGGGGGCCCTGCAGTCTTTATGCAATTAATCAATGACGTTCTAAGGGAGCACCTGTTTAAGGGGGTCCTTGTTTACTTGGACGACATTCTTATCTTTACCGAAACAAAAGAAGAACACGTCAAACTTGTCAGAGCGGTTTTAAAGAAGCTGCGAGCCGCTCACCTATATGCCAAACTCTCAAAATGCGAATTCCACCAGGAAAGGATAGACTACCTAGGCTATCGCATATCCCCACAGGGCATTGAAATGGACCCAGAGAAGGTCAAAGCAGTACTAGATTGGGCACCACCCCGCACAAGAAAGCAACTACAAAGTTTCCTGGGCTTTGCAAATTTTTACCGCCAATTCATCCCCTCATTTGCCCAGATAGCCTTGCCCCTCACTAACTTACTAAAAACGAAGGGAGCATCCTCAGTAAAACCTAGCCAGCCACTAACATGGACAATGGAGTGCCAAGCAGCGTTTGAGAGACTAAAGAGACTTTTTTCTGCCGAACCAGTACTAAGGCACCCAGACATGGACAAGCCCTTCATAATACAGGCAGATGCAAGTGATGTGGCAGTGGGGGCTGTGCTATTACAAGAAAATGATGATGCAGTATTGCAACCCTGTGCATATACATCCAAGAAACTCACGGAAACAGAACAGCGCTGGCCCGTATGGGAGAAGGAGGCTTATGGGATACGTTGGGCATTACTCACGTGGCGACAGTTCCTGGAAGGCAACAAAATCCCCTTCCAGGTGTGGACTGATCACAAAAATTTAGAAGCCCTGAAAACTTCCAGGAAACTCAATCCCAAACAAGCCCGCTGGTCCCAGCATTTTCACCAATTCCAATTTAAGCTCAAACATTTACCAGGAAGAAAGAACTTCCTGGCAGATGCACTATCTCGCATGCCCCAATATAACAGCGCACGAACCACAGACTCTAGACCAATAATGGCAGAGTCACAACTGGCAGCACCAGTAACCACAAGAACCCAAGCCAAAATAAAACCACAACTGGACAGCCAAACTGGGATTGAATTCAGAAAAAGTTTGGAAACAGATGAATGGTTCCAGAAAAACAAAAATGTGTGCACAATGAGAGACAGGTTGCCTTGGGTAGGGGAAAAGTTATATATACCAACAACTCAAAGACTAACTTTCATGCACCTTTGC